AAGTACTTTTCGGGGAATCGTTCTGGATGTATATCGGAGATAGGCACCTAGGAACACCACACACGGTGATAAAGTAAACAGTTGGAAGTTGATTGGTGCCACAAATGTGAGGTCACCTCGAAGTTTTCGCTGAAATGTTTATAACTAGTAATTTCACTTTCTTAATGTTGTTATATTCCAATATTGGCTGCGTTTACAGCTTTCTGCAGCTAGGAACAAATCATCAATAGGAACCGCTCAATCCTGTTGCCATCGGAGACATAGGGACATTACGAAATCACAGCTGTGTTGTCACCACCTCCGCTTAAGCTTATCTTGGTGCGACGAAATTTGCGAGATCAAAAAGAAACCCATATTCTGTTTTCTTACTAAAAACTTACTTTCCCTTTGCTTAGATGCTATCCCTTTTGGAGGAAGTGTGGATCCCATAACAAAATTTTATTATTTTCAGTTATTCCATCATCTTGTCAACTGGTCACATGTGCGTGACTGAGAAAGTCTTCAATTACAGTAAAGACTTCCTCCTTTTTTCTCTTCTAAATATCTGGTAAAGGGGCGGACGGAACAGTGGTAGTGATGCCCGTCATCACGAACATGATGCTAGTTCGAATCCGCTCCTGGCCAACCAAGCCTCTCATCCCTCCGGGGTCGGAAAATTGGTACCGGATTTGTCTGGGAAAAAAATCGCTCTTTGCAATCCAATTGGGAACGCTCGAGCCAGGCTATCTTAGGTGGGAGTTCGACTCGACCAGTTCTGCGAAATTCAAGATGGAATGAAATTTCTGAAGCAGCAGCCAAAGCCACACGTAAAGGTTGGAAGACGTTTTTGGATGATGGATGCGAGGAAAAAAAATCAAATGTGAGAGGTGTTGGGATCCGCACAGTAGATGTGAAGACAGGTTGTATAGAATAAGAAGAATAGAAAACTACCTGGTAGCTGAGTAGGTTACATAGCTGTTTTCTCTGGAGGATAATTTTATCACAATCTTAACTCTTTTATTTACTGCCTTTTTTCTTCTTAATGGCAGGTTATGTTGCGAAATATAACTCGTATGAAATGCTGAGATATTTGCAAAACTCCGGACCACAGGTGTATGCAATGGAGAACGAACACGCGCTGTTGTCCTTACCGGGGAGCAGCGCACTTCACCACTACACCATCCGGGTCCTTCGCTTTGCGATCTTTTTTTAGAAGATAGAAGTAGCTGAGATATACGCAAAGCGAAGGACCCGGATGGTGTAGTGGTGAAGTGCGCTGCTCCCCGGTAAGGACAACAGCGCGTGTTCGTTCTCCACTGCATACACCTGTGGTCCGGAGTTTTGCAAATATCTCAGCATTTCATACGGGATAATTTTATGTTTTATTTACGTCTGGAAATTCCGATAAAAACCTCTCATTCAGTGAATGCATTTAAAGAGCAATAGATAAATGATTTGAGGTTCATCGATCCTGGAGGTTGCTTTGAAGCGAGCAAGGAACCATCATCATCTGTCCTTCAGCTTAAGTATCTCTTCTTCGTTCTCTTTCACTTGTTTCCATTCCATGCCCTGATTAAAACTAGTGCAATAGTTCGGCTTCTCTTAAAACTAGCTTTTCTGGTGGCTACTTCTCGTTTTATGGTTCGTTTTGGATTATTATAAATATCCGGTGGTAATGGCAACTATTACTTACTGAGCACTAATCTTTAGATTGGCATTCGTCCGGCACTGTCCCTACCCGCAGCAATCACCTAACGTTTCCCGTTGGCAATACCTCATCGCATTCATTTACTTCATCTAACACATCATATGTGAATTATTTTTTGGACAGATTCTTTCCATTTGTGGAAGTTTTCTTCTACTTTTATCGTTTTCGGAATGTCGTTTCTCCGTAGGAGCTTTCATCACTCTCCGTGATGTTTTTTGTTCTATTTGGAGAATCTCTAGTAATTGCTATCGTCTAATCAGGGTGATCTTTTATAATCACAAGTTCTCATGTCGTTCCACGCTCATCCCGTATAATTTCCATGAGTTATGCGGATGTGTTCCCCTCAAATGACCCGTTTTTCTCGAATGACGGGGATGTCGGTCACTGCGCGAGACGACTCTCCCTTACCGCTTATCTCCGGCGACATTGTAGGCCCATCTCCCAACCCTCCACGCTATCCACGAACGGCAGCCTGTTACGCAATGTGCAATCTGTCTCCCATCCATGAGTGCTGTGCTACCTCTGTTTGAACGCAATACTCTCGGAACGTGTCATCGTCGAGCCATTTGTGTAGGACGCCTTCTTCCTGCCATAGTTAGGCTCCTATCTAATAACCACAGCTGACACTAGTGTAATCGATTTACCTTTCCGTCCTACCTCACAATCGATTTAAATATCCTACCATACTGCATTGATTCGCTGGGAATGGCAAATGATTCGACCGTAATTAATTTTTACAAAGAAAATAAAATAACCTGGGTAACCCAGATAGTTTTTCCAATAAGGTTACCATATTCGCATGACCCTTAACCTTCTAGAAAATCGTCTGCATTTCCTCCTGGTAACTCTACTAATAGGGAACCCATTGGACAAATGTAACGAACGGCATACTACTTCTTTCAACATCCGGCGCTAGTAAAAGTGTCGTCCTTTTTCGTCATCGCCCGATATAATTGTGGCACACTTTTTGCATTCGGGGTTGTAAACACTGACTTCTGAGCCGCCAATTCAACTAGCAATTAATCTAAAAACTCGCGTGCAGCGTCTAACGTCTGGTTACGAAAAGTTGGCAAGCAGGTGCTTTGAATTAGCCTCCTTTTGCCACCAGTTTAGCGCCACAATCCTAGATGAGTGTATGAATTTAACAGTTATGCTCATCCTAATCAATCTTATTCTCATGTTCTTTCGAAATCTCTTATTATGACTCAAGACGCCTTTTTATATTGTAACTAGAACGCCTCACCCAGTCTGTTGCTTGCTCGTACCTAAGTATTGATAGAAAATCTCTTAAGGGTAAACCGATGTGCCATTTTCCACACTGTATATCTCATGAGTTCTTGTATATTGGGGCTTCTGACCCTTGAATACTTCTTCCAACAAGACGAGATAAGTCGACATCATATCTTTCGCATAATTCGTTAAGATTTTCCTATGTGTCGGTACAGAAGATCTTTTTGACTTTACTGAGAGATAACATAGTGATCGTGCTGCATCTCATTTTGTCGCAATGGTTCTGATATCTTTGTGGGAAATCGATTACTTATAGCTCGTCCCTCTTCTGCTTCTAATCCAGGCGATTATTTCTTGAAACCTATTTGTTGAAATGGCTCCTAGAAGATTTTGAAGCATATAGAATCATGAAGTTTGTGTCATTGTGGCATTTCTTCCCACTTTTATCTTGCGTTTTGCAATCTCTTCCCACTGAGACATGAGGATGTGTATCTGTCATTCATTGCCCAACAAGGACATCCACCTACGGGTATTGACAAATCCATCTTTTTGTTTTCTGTCGATTTTCAGGTGCTGCAAATCCCAGACAAGCTCGTGACACAGAGCAGTCTTTGTTGTTGTATTTAAAAAAACAGCCTTTTTAGAGACTATACGACCATTCCTCGTAAGTTTGCATTTCTGTAGGTTGTAGGTTTTCTGTGACTGTAGGTTGTCGATAATGTATTCAGAAAGCTCACCATACCAACCTCTTAAAAAGTCTGGTGGGAAAATAATTAATAGAAGTAATGATGTAATAGGGAGCGGATATCACAGTGGTAGTGCTGTTTGTCATCACGAGCATAGTGCTAGTTCGATTCCGCTCCGGGCCAACCAAGCCTCTCAACCCTCCGGGGTCAGGAAATTGGTGCTAGACTTGCCCGGAAAAAATCTCTGCAATGCAAGTGGGAACGAACACTTCAGACCGGCTATCTCTGCACTCCAGGGAGTGTAGCTCGACCAACATGGGTGCTAGGAACGGAATCGAATGTGAAAAGTGCTGGGATTCGCACGGTAGACGTGTAGATGGGTCAAATAAAATAAAAAAGTGTTGTAATAGAAAAGATTGAATAGTTGAAAAATGAGTGTAATAGTTGAGCTCATTCCTCGTATATTTTCCGAGAATCATCAGGAAATCTGAATCCAGTCGGGGTTCTCGTCCGTCTGTTCTGTCCGATATGCACCTCGTCCATTCGGTCTGTCAAACTCCCAACTGTCGCACACCTGGTGAGCTGAGTGTCAGCTTTCTTGTCACATTTCAGAGCGTTATACCTTTTTATTTTCTGCCTGCTATAATTTCCCTTGTTTTATTGTAACAATGACGGCATTGAAGTACCACGCATTAATTTAGATGAAGTTTTGAGGTCTGGACAACAAGAAAGTATGTCGTTCTTGGTAGCTTATTGGATTTGAGGGATTAACTAGAACATCGTTTCTTAATAGGTGTTATGAGTATCTTGCAACAACACAGAGATAATTCCATGATCAATATAATCCTGTGAGAACGCTGATGCAGAAGCCAGGAGAGGTGGCTTAGGGGTTCCAGTCTGATTCTGCGCAACATCCTCATAACATTGTAGGGTAGTGTCTCTGCTCGATGCTAATACCTCTTAAACAATTGGTTTGCACAAGTGCCTCATTGGATTTCACTTAGTTTTAAGCTCCTGAAATTTTTCTTTTGAAGAAAAAAGTGGGAGGGACTATTAAGATTCGGCAGACGAACTGAGCGATCATTTGCGAAAGAATTTGTGCGATAGTGTCAGTTGGTTTTTGGTCTCACTAACTTTGTGCTTGGCTAGTATTGAATCAAGACGTAGTCCTAAGAGAACTGGATACGCTGTTCATGCAAAATAGCTTAGTTATATATCCAGAAAATAGTTATATCCAGATAAGTCTAGCGAAGGCGCACGACAGTTCTTGGATAGGTTCATGCATCCCACCTCTGAGAAGTCGTCGTTGCTTTCATAGTTGTAACCGTGTTCATCTAAACTACTAGTGCTCGCTTGTTTACTAGTTCTACAATGTCGCGGACCATTATTTGTTTCAGATGACGTACCAAATCCACAATTCTACTCCCTGTCGTCCAGGAATTCCAAGTGCATCAGATTATATTTTTGTGAGTTTAACACAAGTTTCTTGCTTTCTACATAGTAAAAAGGCAAAGGCTTTCGTTTTGAACGGATTATAGAAATAATGAAGCTGCATTTGAAAAGGCTAAGGCATATTTTTCGGATGAAATTCTCTAATTAACCTCTGTGTTTATTTGCAAGTCTTTAAGAGTCTGGACAATCGCTTTGGAACTATGGAATTGTTAAATGCTACGTAGATACATGGATAGTTATGTTTCCATATCTTGGCACTTCCAGCAAAACTATGTAAATAGGATAATCTTCCCGTTGATGTCTATATCCCTTGGGGTCAATCCGTGAGGTTTTGAAGTCGCCACCAGCCAGTACCAGCAGCCCTTGTAAATCAGAGAGAGATTTATCACCTTATGACGGCTCTCAGTCACATCGATTATGGTTACCTGCATAGCTTTATTTATGCTCGGACTTCCTAATGGAGACAAAGAATTCCATCTAAGCCTAGGATCCTAGGAGTTGGGTAAAATTATCTCGTGGTTCCATAGTAGTCCTCAGTAGGGGCCCTTGATCAGGATATACTTACTGTAGAAGCGAAGTATGAGTCGTTGGAAACAACTGAGAGTAATACAAAGCTTGCGTTTTGTTATAGTGAAACTTCCCCTGACGGTTGAAAAAGTTCTTGAACTCTACTCTTCAATATTCTTTCGTCAATACCAAGAGGAATATCGAATAATTATTTTAGAATCTTGACACCTTCAACTACTCACACTTGACGAGAACCTAATATTGTAGCTTATACATGAATAGCAGCCTACAGACATATCTTGTTATTTCATGCTGCAATTTTAGCCGATCTCGCCATCGTTCAAAAACAGTGCCTTACCTCATTCAGTTCCGAAGAAACCACCGTACTCAGTTGGAAGCAGTGATATGATGACGAGCCAGGCTTCTGATGGAGTCACCAATAATGGAAATGCTCAGTACCATGAAATAGCTAAGGTAAACAAACAGATAACTATGGGAGGACAAGTTGTGAGCAAAAAAAAACACAAGCCGAAGGACGTAGTCAACCGTTAGGTGTACTAATGCGTTTGCTAGAATGGTGTGCCACTGCATTGTGTTATGGCATCACATACCTACTGAATATTAGATCAAAGACATCTGAATTGTTTGCCCAATATCTACCCCAGAAACCTCAACAATTTCGACCTAGTTGAAGTAGATGTTTCTTATATGTCACCACTTTCAATGGCATTCATCCTAAGATCTACTTCCACTACGAAGCCGTGAAATTGCCACTGTTTTAGACTATATTGATATTACAATTGTTTTTTCATCAAATGATTGCAATTACTTTTATATGATATTTGTTTACGTAGTATGCGAAAGGGGCGGGTAGTACACAGTGGTTGTGATGTCAGTCATCACAAGTTCGATTACGCTCCAGGCTAACCAAGCCTCTCATCCCTCCGGGGTCGGAAAATTGGTACGTGACTTGCCCGGAAAAAATCTCTTCAATCCAAGTGGGAACACTCCAGCCCGGCTATCTCAGGGCTCCAGATAGAATCGACACGACCTGCATTCTGCGACATTCAAGTTGAAAGGAAAATCCTGAAGCATCTGCTGAGGCCACACGTAAAGTTGGAAGATCTTCGTAGACAATGGATGCGAGGAAACGAATCGAATGTGAGAAGTGCTGGCATCCGCACGGTGACCTTGAAGACGGGTCATATAAAATAAAAAGAATAGATGTACGAAGAATATTAACGCTTTAACTGTCTAGCACTGATATTTTTATATTTTTGCTTTACCTACAAATCATGCTGCAACGATTGCCGATCTCCCATGAGGAATTGCCGGGTTTTGACGAATCGTAGGGTAATCGCTCCAAAAGCCGGCAGCGATAATTTCTCTAAAATAAAAATCGCCAAACCCAGTTGTCTTTTACGGCTTCATGGACGACTGCTAATTACGCGATATTTTTTCCAGTTCTTTATTTACAAGAGTTCACACAAAAATCGAGCTGTGGATAGTAAGAACTAGTGAGACAGAGAACACTACTGTACTCTAGTCCTCTCCTAGTCTGTTATGCATTTCACAGTCCTGTACGAAAAATTTTGTAAATTGTCCCATAGTTTGCATTACGTCAGTTGTACTACTTACGTACATAAGACACATGCCCTTCGCCAATGGTACAGGGAATTGGTATACGACATGTCCTCGCTGATGAAATACGGGTATGATAGGAGCTGACTACTTTGTGTCTTCTAACCGTTAGGCAACAGGAGTACTGCCATAGGAACACATAACAGCCGACATGTATCCAACATAATACGTTTGGTGTGAAACTAATAACCACCGTTGTAATTAAACCAACATATCTTAGCCTTTATTGATCTCTATTAACTGCTGTGAAAACAAGCTTTACAAACTTTTACCTTCAAAGCACTAGTTCTCATACTTTACTTATATACTTGGATGGCCAGTCTTCACTGGTTGTGAGGGTGCCAGCATAAGTTCCATTTTTTCGGAATTTTGCCGGTTTAACTAGTGTTGTTCCCTGGAGTTCCGAGGTCACCCTGGCCATGGTCTCCAAAATCCCTCAGGTCGTCACCACCACAGGCAGTCGCCGCCATTGTGGATCAGAAGGGGATTTGCCACCATGCGACTAGTTTGACCAGGATGGTGGTAGATCTTAGTGTTGGTACTCATTTTATGAGCTTAGAATTTTGGTTTTCTGTGCCTATAAACTATATCTTTTTCCAATTTTCGTTACTTGAAAACTAGTAGTTCGAACTTGGCATTATTAAATGTGTCTAAGGTCGTCTAAGGTCTCCGTGGAATGTGCAGAAAGTAGTTTTAAGAGTTTAACACTGTTGTTTAGTTGTAGCTTATAACTGATTCCATACCCTATCTTGATTACACTGAAGGAATTATTTAGACCCTGAGACGCCCTAGGAATTTTGGTCCTCGTACATTTTGAGCAAAGCAAACTTAACAAGCACGAAACCTAGAAATTTTCGGGCAACAACGGAATGACTGGTATTTCTAGTCCTCTTTTACGGTTACATTTACTATTGTTGAATGATCTTCTTTGACCACACTACAGGGCTTTGTGTATCAAAAGTTCTTAAAACTGTGTACAAAGAATTAATTTGCATTCAGATGAAAGTAGGTTCCAAGATTTTAGTGTTCCATAAAATCTGGTAGACAGAGTATACGTTCAAAACATCGAGACAGCTATGGGGTAGGGGCACGCTATGCTGAAGCGATCGTTCTGCTTAATCTGAAATGCGCACAGTGTCAATGTCAGTCTGCATTGTTGAGAAAGTTAAAGGGCTTATGGCTAGAAATAAAGTGCAGTTTTCCCTACGACCATAGCAGAGAACCCCACTCTCTGGTCTTATGAGGACGCATATTGACAAACCATGTGTGGACAGTTGTGGGAACAATAGACACAGTGTGCTAAACTAACTTAAAACAAAACTACAAACCATTCCTCATTAATTATGGGCAGAGATGAGCCCACGTCCCTTGCCTCAGATTCTGTACTGCAGATTATCTCCACTTGTACATGTTTTATGTTCACTTCTTCTTGGAGTGACCAAATTGAGCAAGTGGAAACACATGGGTGGTAAATACTATGCAAAGTTTCAGGATAACTAATTCATTGTGTCATTTACTAAGAAATTGGTGTTTCAGTTGCGGATTTCCCTTCGATTGCTCACCATGATGGCGCTAGCTACTGGTGTTTCCAGCATCACGAGTCTTCAATTCTTTCTACAAGTCAACTGGAGCACTATGATCAAGAAATATGTCACGCTGAAGGAATTCTACGTTCGTTATGATGCTTGCAGATACCGAGAAGTGATATCGATCAGCTGATCAGATAGAAAAGAAAATGCAAACAGGAATCTGGCGATTGTTGAAAGCTTTCCAGGAAGAAAGCAGCATTGACGACAAGGCTATAACTAATGAAGGTGTTTTCAGCAGACGATCGGTGACATCGGTGAAACCCTCGACGTAGCGGTGTTGGTGTGTTCGTGCTCAGCGTTCTTCGTCACACTTATGCAGCTTTTTTTCGTACTTAAGCTTCAAAAGTTCAAAAACTCTCACGCTACGATGTGAGTTTGTCATCGTTAATATGTCGTACATATACTGGTCTCTTAAGGAAATATCGCAGTTCTGAAGCAGCTTGAATGAGTTCTTTGCGAGGTATGGAACAACTTTGATTCTAAATGTTCGAAACGAAAGTAGCGGAATGACTTGTTAAGCGTGAAGGACAAAACGTTTCGAAAATTTCAGTGCGATAGAGTATCTGGAACGAACTAGCGCGATGAGACTGATCATCTACTCATTTTGGTTTCTGGCTGTTATGCTGCTGATGGCAGGTAGGCGGTTAACAATAGTGATACAATAACACGGCTAAGAGACAGCCGAAACGAAGGACTCGCATGATGTGGTGGTGAACGCGTTAGCCTCCGGAAAGGATAGTAGAGTATTCGGTCCCACCGCAGACACCTGCAGTCCGGAGTTTTGCAAATATCTCAGCAACATTGTGGTTATAATAGCGATATTCCTCTTCGATTTGATTGAATCCATTTATTCGAACTAGCTATAAAGATAAGTGAACTTCCAAAAGATCGAAATTCCCTCTCGGTCCGATACTTCACGTTGTCGCTTCCCGGATTTAAGATGATTTGAAGCTTCCCATATCGACTAGAAAAGAACAAACTACAACTTTTAGCGATATTTGATCGCATATGTACATTGAGAGTTAAATATAAAATCTGGTTACTCCTGGAAATCAAAACTTGGTATCATTTTGCGATATTTGTCGGACCTTAGCATAGAAGAAAGTGTTGGTCTAGAGAATATCCATACAGATCTGAAGCTAGTTAACTTTTTTACTTACTGCCCACTGCAATTTCTCACAAGAGGGAATTATGTGAAATACAACTACAATGATACTGATACATTGAGATTGTGATTATAACTAAGCCTCAGCTTAACTGGGTTCAATGCCGATTTGGGCTCCCCAGATCAATCCCGTTGACGGATGATAGCTGATGGCAAAAAGATCGATAGAACTAGCTGAGAGAGAGATAAGACGAAGGACCCGGATGGTGTTGTGGTGAAGTGCGCTGCTCCCCGATAAGGACAACAGCGCGTGCTCGTTCCCCACAGGATACACCTGCGGTCCGGAGTTTTCCAAAGATCTCAGCATTTCATACGAGTTATATTTCGCAACATACCCTGCCATTAAGACGAAAAAGGCAGTAAATAAAAGGGTTAAGACACTGATACATTTGCAAAACTCTGGACCGCAAGTGTCAGTTAGGGATCGAATACGCTTATTACCCTTTCGAGGTGCTAACGCGTTAACCACTACACCATGCGTGTGCTTAGTTTCCCGTTTCGCTGAGCTAGTTTTCTATCTTCTTGGGAGATTCGGCTTCTACATCGTCCTTGATCGGTCCGTCACTTTTTCACTCCTACTTTCGTTTCTGATTTCGGTTTTAACATCTCTCCGAATCAACTATCAGGAAGACCGAGCGAAGGATTCGTCGCCGAAAACACACCTCCCTCTGATCCACATCGTGGTGAAGACCTGGATACGCCCTTGCAAGGTTAAGTCAGGACTCCAGGGAGAACCANGCTGCTCCCCGATAAGGACAACAGCGCGTGCTCGTTCCCCACAGGATACACCTGCGGTCCGGAGTTTTCCAAAGATCTCAGCATTTCATACGAGTTATATTTCGCAACATACCCTGCCATTAAGACGAAAAAGGCAGTAAATAAAAGGGTTAAGACACTGATACATTTGCAAAACTCTGGACCGCAAGTGTCAGTTAGGGATCGAATACGCTTATTACCCTTTCGAGGTGCTAACGCGTTAACCACTACACCATGCGTGTGCTTAGTTTCCCGTTTCGCTGAGCTAGTTTTCTATCTTCTTGGGAGATTCGGCTTCTACATCGTCCTTGATCGGTCCGTCACTTTTTCACTCCTACTTTCGTTTCTGATTTCGGTTTTAACATCTCTCCGAATCAACTATCAGGAAGACCGAGCGAAGGATTCGTCGCCGAAAACACACCTCCCTCTGATCCACATCGTGGTGAAGACCTGGATACGCCCTTGCAAGGTTAAGTCAGGACTCCAGGGAGAACCAAGTTGCACAACCAGCAATAGGCCAGCCTCAGTGCCGCGCACACTGGGTGCTCCCTTCTACGACGTTAGGCGGTGAGACGACTGGTGAGAGGCCAGAAAATCTCGGATTACGCAGGACGTCATTGGAACCGGATCTAACGAACACACGCACGACACACCATGGAGATTGTTTCTTACTATGCACGTATAATGCCATAACACTATCCACAGACGCCGATCTTTACGACCTTCTTGTAGCCGCAGATCGCATTATTTTTTATGTGATTGCATTATAAGAAACAAATGTGACCCGTGGAGAAAAGGTCCCGTCACGAAATGTCGGCGGCGTAGGCTTTGTCGTCCACCCGTCCATTGTCCATCTCGTCGAGTCACACGAGATCCTTTCCCCTCGCATAGCCGTCCTCCGTCTTCAACTGTCGCATAATAAGAAGATCACTAACATCTACTGATACTCACCGACCGATGCAGCTGATGAGTACGAATTAAATGCATCCTACTATCAGCTGGAGGAAGTCATCCGCAATGATGAACCATATCAGAAATTTGTTGTCGGAGACTTCAACGCGAGAATAGGAAGGGCAACAAGAGCGAATACAGGATCGGAAATTTTGGATTAGGAGAAGGAAATGAGAATGGGAGCCGTTTCGCAGAACTCCTGTTTGCAGCACGTCTCTTTCACGGAAACTCGTTTTTCCAGAAGAAAGCCGCCGCTGGACATGGGAGTCTCCTAACGGCATGATTCATGCGGAGATCGACCACATTCTGGCAAACAGAAGATGGTACCTACTTGACACATCGGCAGTCCTGTCATTCTGTACTAGTTCCGATCACCGCCTTCGGGCGAAGATTCGATTCAACCGCAAGCTGGAAAAGAGCACTCTTCATCGACCACGAGGAAAAAGTCTAGCTGTATGCGGCGAGAAAATTCTGAACGAAGTCCTGTCCAAACGTGACTGGCAGATTAAAGAAGACTCGACCGAAGATTGGGCTGCTTGTCGAAGGATTGGAAAGCTGTGCCGAATTCGCCTCAGTTCCTCAAGCAAGAAGATCGAATCGCATCTCCATCACTACTGCGTTGCTCGAAAAGAGAAGGGAGCTGAAGCTTGATCCTACTGCAACACGTTTAACATGGCTAGTAATAAATGCCAGCTGCAGAACAGCTTTATAGGAAAATCTACAACGGTACAAACAGAAGAAACTACTGGAAGCAGCAGAGAAAAAATGCAGTCGGGACTTGTGTGATTATAATGTTCCGCTGTCAGCCCTGATGAACGAAGATGGGATCAATGTTTTACCTTTATTTTCTGCCTACTACAATTTTCACGGCAGGGGGCTAAACGAAATACAACCACAACGTTGCTGAGATATTTGCAAAACTCTGGACCGCAGGTGTCTATAGTGGAGAACGAACGCACTATTGTCCTTTCCGAGGAGTAAAGCGTTCACCACCACACCATGCGGGTCCTTCGTTTTGCCTGTCTCCCAGCTAGTTCTATCGATCAGCGCCATCAGCAATCACCCCTCAACGGGATTGATCTGGAGAGCCTACATCAGCATTTAACCTAGTTAGGCTGAGGTTGCAGGACCCGCATGGTGTGGTGGCGAACGCGTTACTCCCCGGAAAGGACAATAGTGCGTTCGTTCCCCACTATAGACACCTGCGGTCCAGAGTTTTGCAAATATCTCAGCAGCGTTGTGGTTGTATTTCGCTTAGTACTCTGCCGTGAAAATTGTAGTAGGCAAAAAATAAAAGGTAAAACATTGTGATATCAACTACAGCCTCAGCTTAACTGGGTTCAACGCCGATGTGGGCTCCCTAGATCGATCCCGTTGACGGGTGATTGCTGATGGCGCTGATGGATAGAACTAGCTGAGAGGCAGGCAAAACGAAGGACCCGCATGGTGTGGTGATGAACGCTTTACTCACCGGAAAGGACAATAGCGCGCTCGTTCCCCACCATAGACACCTGCGTTCCGGAGTTTTGAAGATTTGATCGTCAAAACTTCCCGCCATGATATGGAATTAATAGCGGAAATGTTCTAGACTAACCTTTCCCGTTCCACATTCCCCGTCCCGGACCCTAATATCCCTGCTGGAGAAAACCACCTGGAATTCTTCCTTCGGAGGTTCGAGTTGCGATAGAAAGCATGAAAAGAGGCACAACTCCAGGACCCGATAATACTACCACCGACTTCCTTAGAACTGGAGCCACAATTTACATGTATTTCTCGCAAACCATATGACAGCTTACCTCAACGAGGAAAAAACCCCAGACCGGTTGACGACGCGCACGGTCATCCAGCCCAAGAAAGGAGACCGAAGGGATCTTCGTAACTGTCGTCCCATATGCTTGTTGAGTGTACTCTACAAGCTCTTCACGAAGATTATCCTCTCGCGCATATCAAGGACATTGGATGAGGCGCAACGAGTCTAGCAAGCAGGATTTCGAGAAGGATTCTGCTGCATAGACCACATCCAAACCGTGTCCAGTGTCATCGAAGTTTGTCGGGAATGCCATTTGCCTCTAGTCCTAACATTTGTCGACTATGAGAAGGTGTTTGACAGTGTCGAAACGAATGCAATCCTAGCAGCGCCCGTCGACCAAGAAGTGGACCAGTGCTACATAAGAACTCTGTCCGACTGTTATCGGAACTGCACTACGAAAATACACCTTTCCATCGACCTCTTACCATACCCATAGGAAAAGGGGTTGGACAGAGCGACACAATATCGCCAAAGCTGTTCAGTGCCGCACTGCAGTGGATAATGAAGTCACTCGATTAGGATGAGAAAGGCATGCGTATTAATGGAAAATCCCTATCAAACCTTCGTTTCGTCGACGATATTGTCATCTTCTCAAGAAGCACTAGCGAAGCAGAGGTGATCAACAGGCTCAACGAAATGGGGAAAAAGATCGGACTTCGCATAAACCTAAAAGAAGACCCTGTTCACGAAAAAACCATGGTGCGAAGGTGAAAGAATTGAATTGGATGGCTCTCTCGTTGCAGAGACCACCTCGTAGGTATACTTTCGGCGATCAGTAAGCATGGAAAACAACATGAAGGAGGAACTAGATAGAAGAAGGAGAGCAGCTTGGGCCGTATTCGGGTCTCTCAAAGAAGCCACCGACCAACTGAAGGCCCCTAAAAATTCGCGTTCATCTCTTCGATTCTACAGTCCACCCAGCGCTCTATTATGCTGCAGAGTCGTGGGTTGATACTTCAACCGCGTGAAGAATGCTTCGCACTGCTCAAAGAGCGCTTGAGGGATGCCTTCTGAAATATAGTCTTCGGAGAAGAACAGACGACAGATGGACGAAAAGAAGAGTAGAGTGAACTCCAAGGGAATGCAAACATTCTCTAGAACGACCACCTACACGTTGAGTGGACGTATTCGTAAACAAAGTTAATCAGCTGTACCCGTAGCTGCAGTTGTTTCACAGATCACGGTTTGAGAGTTGCACGCGCTACTATGCTCGAACAAGACCACCACCATGGACTATGATTGCGAGAGAAAGGAACGAATGGCACATGTGCGGGGGTCCGCAGAGCTCGTGAAGACGGACCGTCCAGGTATCCAAGTATGTTTTCTATCTACAAGTGCCATCAGACGTGAAAAATTGTAGTAGGCAGTAAGTAAAAAAGTTAACACTGCGATTTCGATTACAGCCTCAGCTGAACTGAGTTCAATGCTGATTTGTGCCCCCCAGACCAATTGCGCTGACGGGTGATTGCTGATGGCATTGGTAGATAGAAAAACACCTGAGAGGAACACGAAACGAAAGACCCGCATGACGTGGTGGTGAATGCGTTAGCACTAGGAAAGGACACTAGAGTGTTCGATCTCTAATACCACTGATCTCTACCACTGATACCTGTGGTCCGGAGTTTTGCAAATATCTCAGTATCATTGTGGTTAAAAAGCTGGTATGGGAAACTTTCATGATTCGTAACGGAAACCTTGAAATTCGTTGGAGGGTTTGCTTTCTCTCTCTGGCACCACATCCATGTTCATTATTCGCTTTTAAGAAATCAGCGCTCCCTCCAATGTCGCTATATTTCTTTTTGAATGGCTTTCGTACGTTACCACAATGTGCCGAAAATGGAGCTTTGTCATACCTACGAACCTCTATTCATCCCAGTGGAAGCGGGTCGTTTTGTTTTTTTTCTCGTAAAGAATTGCCATTTTAGCTTCACTGTTCGCTTTTACAGCCGTGCTGCTGCTCTGTGCCATGAACCCACAACGCGGAGCGATCTCGAAAGCAATCGGTCTGCCGCTAGGTGTCATCGCGATGGGGTTCTGCGTCGTCGTCACACTGAAGTCGATTCGCTTCTGGAGCAGATCCACTCGTACGCCACCCACCGTCGACAACTACAAAAACTTCTCTACTCTCGTATAGAGCAGCTGTCCGTAGAACAGGAGTCCTATGAAGGTCCAACTATATCCCCACGATGTTACATCATTGATGTGTGCCTTTCTTAACGATGCTTTAATGCTTTCATGTTTTGCTATCTTTGGTTTGTGCCATCGTCATCATCGTCATGACAATCATTATCGATCCCATAAAATACTATGCTTTATCTTTCCATTCATTGATCTCATCATTGCATACGTTCAGTCGAAAAATCGGCTTCGTCCGAACTCTCTATGCGCCTAGTGTCCCTTGTTGACTTGTACTGTCTAGCACCAGAACAAGTGCGACTCATCAGTGCAATCCGTATCCTTTACGCGTCTGTGATATCTCTTGCCACATCTGAGACTTCTATATCTTCGTTCTAAATACTGAATATCAGTTTGTGCATAACGTTGCTACTCTTTTATACGAGAACACTGCGAACTGTTTCTTCACAGTCTTCCATCAGGTGATTCTTACCTGTACTTGTAATAAGTGCTTGTTTTACATTGAACAGTGCATTCATCATGTTCAGAATTTCGTTGAGTACAACGTCATTTTCGATCCATGTTTCTAATGTGGCTTAGGCCATGCATAAAAACTCAATGTGGAAAATGTTATTGTCCTACTGAATTTTGTTAGCGAATATCCACCTTCATGGTTAAGCTCAATCTTCTGTAAAATAGACTATCTCAATCAAGTGGAATAAAGGTTCTGCATAGTGTAAAGTAGCAAATAAGAAAGCCTGTAGAGCTAAGAAGGAGAGAAAAACCATCCTTCAGAGCAGAATGTTTCAAGTTACCGTAGTTCATTGCATAGGATGACAGCATACACGTATGAACCTTGAGTCGACAAGTTACGGTCACACTTGTGTCCTCGTTACCACACATTTGCTTTTGAGACCATAAGCAATGAGAACACAAGTGCTCAGAATGTAGAATACTAGCCGAAATCTCTTGTGGGTGAACTACCAGTTCAGTCCTGCTCAGAATGTCCATCGCGGCACCCGAACTTATTTTCTGTGTACAGGATATCTAGTCACAATGTTAAAATACAGAGAAAATGAAAGCCGAGTATGGCTCACTTAACACTTCAAAGACACTTTGCTTTCGATTCGCGATAACACTCATGCACTTATATCAACGCATGCGTTGCTAGAAATACTTGTACTTTCCAGTTTTAAACAAACACATCTTGGCTGATGGTGGACTTCGTTAGTTCAAACAAACCATTAAGATTTACAGATCTTTGTCAAAAAATGCAACTCTTCGATCCCACAGTAATAAAACCCTGGTTTTTGTAGTCCAAAAGCTTATTCTTCCAACTTTTTTCTAGGGTCCGATTTCGAGGATCGAAACGATTGAGCAGTCGGGAACCGTTTCCGATTTTCTCTAAAAGTTTTAACCTGAAAAAGAACCGAAATTAGAAAAGTATTCCAGAAATGACTGGATCCACTCAGCCCCAAATCAGTCAAGCCTTCCACTGCTAGAAGTTGGTGAGTTGATAGCAAAAGGCTCGGCCCGATCCGCAAAGACTGCGGTAACGACATAGTATGAACGCTCTAACGGAAAGCTATCCCAGCATTTCATGGACAATCAACTCGGCCGGCATCCAGTGACATTCACGAGGGCAATAGCCTCAACTGGCAGCCGAATCCACAGGTAAATCCAAAGTTTCGTGGATGATCGATGTTAGCGAACGAACCGCTGGGATCCGCACAGTGTGTCGGTCCATATGAATAACAAGAATGGAAGAATGGCTTTCGAAACTCGTCGCGAATGTATCCAATGCATTTACCATATATACATAGGAACTAGGATACGAAATATACGGATCACAGGCAGAACTGTTCTGCTCCAGTAGGTGGGTGAGTGAGCAACGACGACATGTCGCTACTTTTCATTTTTAAAAACTGACTTTCATCTAACACCGGTATAGATAAGCAATGTGCCTTCCTACCTTTCCAGGATACCAATGAAAAAACGCACACCGAACACCGGAGAATAACCAAACGTCTAGTCCACGTCTTTGGCGTGACAGCCTCCGGGCGCTACCAGAGCCGCGTGCGGTCGCGCAGCGTGCGACTTCCAGCGCGGCGCTGGCCGGTTGTCCGGGATTGACGTCCGTCGTGAGGTTGTTGGGAGTCATGGTCGAGCTGGGAAGCAAGAGTCCGTTCGGGCAGTCCTTCAACAACAGCGTCTTCATTCTGCCAGCGATCGTTGTCGTCCTCATAGTCGGTTAGTTCTGTTTCTCTTCGAAGCGTGAAAGAAGCGCGGAGTTTAACAGGATATTATAGACTTGTTTGAATTAGTTTTCCTTCTGTTCTTCCAGCTAACATTGTCTTAGTAAAACCAAGTGTAACCCAAGTACTCGCTTTAAGTTGCCATTTCAGTTTGCGTGTTTGTTTTAGTACTAGCTCTGCTGAATTATATGTCCGCCACATTTAATGGCCTGGAAGTTCTTTGCTAAAATCTTACTTTCTGTCAGGAAATTAAATTATATAGTTAATGAAAGAGCGAATGGCCTCATTAACATCTAGCCAAGTCGCCCGAGTGCTTCCATAACCATATCTTAACGTAGTCCTCATAAATTTCGATCTAGTGGTGGAGCAGTCTTCCCAATAAAGTTTCTTTTGCTTTCAAACATCGGGTTAATCCTCCCATTTGAACTTCTTGCTTGTATTATCATTTCATAAGAAGTGGAAACCAAAGGCGGTATGTGTTGGCGAGGCTATCTACCATATGATTGAAATATAGGATTATGATTGCAAGTGTGTGTCGTTCTATGCTTTGAAAAATCCGAAGTCTCCTGTAGACTCTTATAGCGCTTGCCACTGTAAAATATGTGTTGACCTACCAGAAATGCCATTTCATCTTCTCTTTGTGATGGGTATACCTGCTACCTGGACAGGGTCATTCAAGCTGGAGAAGTTCTATAGATCCATATGTGTAAAGTGGAATAAACCTTTGCCTCAACAAAACGCATCGAGCTACCGGTTTTCTGTCGAAAGCAGTAATGCTAAAGGGCATCCTGTTAAGGATGTGGAGCTGTTCGTACCATTCGAGTGAACTAAGCTTATTGAGCATATCTGTTCTGTAATAAAGACGAACGGAGACATTAATGGTGCTCGCTGAAGTTACTAAGTGATGAACATGGGTACAGTGCTGCAGTGGACTGCTTATGTTTCTATTCCAAAGCAAACTTTAGAAAGTCGGTATTAACAAGTACTTTTTGGTGTTGTACGATGGTCGTGTAGTTGAGTTTCTCGTATGAAATCCGTTGACGAGGTAGTGCATGAGCTATCGGTTAATGATGAGATAAAAGTGTTTGTACTGCTGTCTATTTCTGTTGTTTGTGCTTCTTTATACTTCAGTGTAAACTAGTATATGTATAAGTATGTATATGTTTTTGTGTATGTATATATGTGTGTATGCGGATGCGTGCATATGTATGTGTGTGTAGATGTGTATGTCCATGCGGTAAATCTTGGTCCAGGACTGCTGGTGATTAAAATAAAGCCTTTATACTTATCGAAACAAACTTAAGGTTCAGGATTACTCTTGAAGTGAAGCTTGAAGTTTAACTAGATCGATGTCGATCTACTCGTCGAATTGTACCCAGTGGGAATAGGAATGGTCAGAACTTGTAACGCTGCTTTTCTTTGGTTTACGTTTTTCTGCATCTTCTCTATAACTTAGTTTGAAATATGCGCCTTTATGCTTCTGTATTTTAGGTTTTTGCTCGTATAAATTGGTGTATTCATTAAAAGCAAAAGAGGAGAGGCAAAGTCAACGTAGAGCTAAACGAGAGGAAAAAAAGAAGAAAACGAAGTAGAGAAGTGAGAAACATGGTCATTGGAGACGTCATACAATTTCTTTTGCCACATATCAGATAGTTTTTTTTATTAGTATTTATGTTTTGGCGCTTCTGCAGTTTTTGAATGGGTTTGTTGTTCGTTCGACATTGTTGTGATATGTTTTTGTCATTGATAAAAGGTCACTATGAAGTAAACATGGATAATATTAACTTTCTATGTAATGGATAATGGATAATGTTTCCGTTTCTCTCAGCCTAGTTTTCTATCTACCAGTGCCATCAGTAGTCACCTGTCGGCGTGTTTGATCTAAGGGGCACAAATCGCCATCGAACCAAGTTAAGCTGAGGCTGTAGTCGAAATCACAATGCTAGCTTTCCTACTTACTGCCTACTACAATTTTTTACGGCTGATGGGGCTGATTGATAGAACTAGCTGAGAGACAAGCGAAACGAAGGACCCGCATGGTGTGATGGTGAACGCGTTATTCCCCGGAAAGGACAATAGTGCGTTCGTTCCTCCACCACAGATACCTGCGGTCCGGAGTTTTGCAAATATCTGAGCACCATTTTGATTGTATTTCGCTTAGACATGGATATTTGTCTCGTTCAGCGATTCTGCTGTTACAACGGGATGCTGAGTCAACGACCGCTATATATTGCAAGTGGAGGCTGTTGTCAGAAAACGATGGAATTCCTTAGAGTGCAGTAGATTTCGGTATTTTTTGTGTCATATATGGCAGTGACGGGGGTCATTCAATGCGTTTCGCGATGAGGAGTTTGTTATTCCCATTGAGACATGTGTAGCATGGTGTACGTTTGCTGACACAATCAGCGCATCATCTGTTAATGTTCAATAAAACATGGCTGGAACGTCGATTTCGTAATGGTGCACGAATATTCTCTCTCTCTTGTGTGTGATTCATGTCAACACAAATGCTGCATCCGGAGAAGCTTCTGCTCCAAATTCTCATCGGGCTTCGTGATGGTACCGAGACGGAGAGTTTTGTTGCTTGCACTGCCATTGATTTCTCTCCACTAGGCGGTATTGCTCATGAATTAAAATGCATGGAATTAGTAGTTTCAGATTGGACGTAGCGACGATTTCTAAATGTACCATCACGGGGGTGGAACGCAGGGAATGGAAAAACATGAAGGTCTCGTTCCTAGGCGTTGGTGTTCTTCCTGGTCTTTCCCCTTTCTTTTGAGCATCTGTAAGAATAGCTTCTTCCGCACAAATTTTTACAAGAAAAAAACTCGGTAAAGTAGTCAAAAATCTGAAAAATCCCTGAGATTGTCTACGTATTGTGGAGATGAAGTAGGCAATAGAGATAATGCGAGAAATGGAGGTTCGAACATTCACTTAGTTCTACACTGGCGTTATTTAGCTTAGATACGTTAACGACAGTGCCTCACAATTTGTTCGAGTGCAGCATATCGTTCATTCGTTACCCTCTCTATGAGCGTCATTCATAGTGATGGAGTCTGCTTCAACTGTCGTTACTTCAAGGAGTCTCACTCCGAATTCCATAAATCGTTTCTAGCTGCGAGTAAAGCTGATGAAGTGGACCACAAAGAAATCTTCCCATCTTGTAGATGTACATTTCAAAGAGCGTTCGCATCCTTTTGAAGTCCACTGTGCTGTTCTTATCGTTTACCGGCGGCCATTAGCGTTTCGTGTTTTACCTTCGAATTTGGGTTTTTCTCGATTTATATGAAGTGTGGTTTGTTCTGTGGAGTTTTAGAGACAGGTAAACCCATGTCTCATAGGCATGGTGGGACGTAGAGAGTATCCTAGGTTGAAATGTGGACGCGGTTTTAGATCCATCTGTTGATTGGTGACTTCTCAGATATGTCCGGATGCATCTCATGCTGTTCTCCTACACATTTTGTCCTTGATGTTCTTTTCATAAGTAGTGGACACTTTATGCTTATAATTCTTTATATTTCACTTTCGAGAGCAACAGCTGCCTCCAGTGGATTCTTATCTAATATTGTAAGATCATCAGAAATTTTAATTTTAGGTCTTTTTAAGGAAGCCCGATCGTTGATTCGCTAGCTCTTGTGCTCATGAAATCCATGTGACCTAGACGCTAATAACCTTTGTCGACCTGTTTTCGCCCAGAGGCATCACATCTCCAGTTCATCGAATTTTCGACATGATGTATACGGCAGTGCCTCCGAACCATGGTTGTGGACGTTTTCCACATGTCTAGAATTTCTTCCACTTTCTTGATAGAAGATACTTCAGTAACGATAACGGTCCATCACTCTGCTTGCGTAATGTCCAGTTTATCAACGCACAGGTAAGTCAAGAGGAATAGTAAAACCGAAAAGATGCCCATGGAGTAGGGTGTCATTTGTTCTCTTCATTACATTTCCGGTGCTCTTTTAACTTCCGTACGTCATTCATTTCTCCTCACCTGAGACTGTGGTCCATCGTACTTACTTCTCGATCCGGATGCTCAGTTTAGGATTTGAAGTTATTCAATGTCAATTGTGTATCTCATGACCATCGTTTCTTGAGCTTTGTCAAAGCAATTATGAGAACGATATCATTCACAAAGCGAAAATGGTGCTGCCTCTGTCCTTCGACGTTAGTTCCCATGTTGTACCATTTCAGTATGATGGCCTCAAGATCGGCTTTGAGTAACTATAGAGAAGCTGTTTCGTCCTATCGAGCCTTTCTTTTACATCAGTGATAATGCCATTGCAAAACGGTGAAATGCTGGTTGTTAAGTTGCTATGTAGCTCATGTAGGATTTTTATGTAGTGGTTAGGAATACTGTGGCTATTCAAAACTTCGTTGACTCTGTCTCACTCGCGCCAAAAGATTTTCTTTGTCGATGAAAGTAAGACAAAGTGATTTCTCATACTCTGGGAATATGTAAACGAGTTTTTCTGTCCATTATATTCTTTGTTCCCTATTTAATTTATCATAGTGAATTATTTTCAAGATCTTAGTTGCTGACATGACTCCATTCTCCAGTGGACCTATCCTGTCAATTCTATTGAACATGAATATTGTGAGCTTGCAGAAAACGTACGTCGCCTACGTGGACTCCTCACTGGCATACCGATTTAAGTGTTCCTGAACTGAAAGAGATGCTTTAGCGATTTTCAAACTGTCGGCTTTGAAATAACTTAAACAAAGGTCTTAACCCTTTTATTTACTACCTTTTTCTTTTTAATGGCAGGGTATGTTGCGAAATATAACTCGTATATAATACTGAGATATTGACAAAACCCCGGACCGCAGGTGTATGCGGTGGGGAACGAACGCGCGCTGTTGTCCTTTCCGGAGAGTAGCGCACTTCACCACCACACCATCCGTGTCCTTCGTTTTGCCTGTCTCTCAGCTAGTTCTATTGATCTTTTGCCATCAGCAATCACCCGTCAACGGGATTGATTTGGGGAGCCCAAATCGGCATTGAACCCAATTAAGCTGAGGCTTAGTTATAATCACAATCTTAACCCTTTTATTTATTGCCTTTTTCTTTTTAATAGCAGAGTATGTTGCGAAATATAACTCGTATATAATGCTATAATAATATAAAAAAGATCAATAGAACTAGCTGAGAGACAGGCAAAACGAAGGACCCGGATGGTGTGGTGGTGAAGTGCGCCACTCCCCGGTAAGGACAATACCGCGTTCGTTCCCCACCGCATACACCTGCGGTCCGGGGTTTTGTAAATATCTCAGTATTATATACGAGTTATATTTCACAAAGGTGTTGGGTAACCCGCTGCATTAAGTCGCTAAGGTGCACTAGAAATTTGAGACAGAAGCCAATGGTTGGGTGAAATGTTTGATTTGACTTCATGTGGCCTATCTCGTTGTGAGAGATGCCATTAAGAGTCCAATTTTGAGAGCAGGGATTTCTAGAATTCGATGTTTTTCTTCAATAAGCAGACACGAGGTTGTTATTATGGAATTTATTAGGATACAAGAGCTGACGTTTCGGCGGCTTCGCCTTCTCCAGACACTACGATCCTACCCGAGAACTTTCAGGAAGATCTTATAGAACACGAGCTAGAGCTAGCTCCTGAGAAGGTACAGAAAGAAAGAAAGTTTTTGTTTTCCGAAAAGTCACGAAAGCGTTTCTTGGAGTCCTGTAGTGGATCACTACCGTAATTTTGATCAATTTTTATGGAAGTGTGTTTGTGTTCATGGAATTGAAGGTTTTACACTTTGTAAAAAATTAAGTGTGAGAAATTAATTTGGTTTTTTTTATGAACAGTTTGAGGAAAACGGTGAAGAATTGACTGGGTGTGGAAATAACAACTTCACAAACGTTCGCAGAAATATCTCACTCGTCTTTAAGCTCATCATAGTCCTTCTTCATTATTCTGACTAATCCTCTAATAATACGCACCCGTAAGAAATTTGAGGTCGTCATCATGCGCACTGCCGCCTTCGTGGATCCACATTGACGACGACAACGCCATTGGCTCTCACGGCATGCAGCGAATTTGCTCAGAAGCACACCAATCGCGTCCGTGAATCGAAAGCACAACATGACCGATTTGAGCGAACCATTACACCAAATCGAAGAAGAATCATGTTCCATTCGAACTCGCTATACTGAAAACAGAATCGTCGAAGCTAAGAGATAGAAGGACAGTGGAAAAAAGAAAAGACAAAAACAAAACAACTGGAAGAAAAGGAGAAGAGTTGGTGTACTTGTATTTCCAGACGCACTTGTGAAAGCAGTTATAAAAAATTTGTTCCAGCTTGAAGGGCGTTACGACAAATGTAGACCTATATTTCAATGGAATCATATAGAAACTAATGAAGTACCCTACGCTCATATATTTAATGTTATTTATTCCCTTTTATTAGAAACTAGTGCTAAAATCGTGGCTAGCGGACCAAGAGCAAGTTCATCTTCCAGTGGAGTTGTGTCTCCATGACAACAGATAGCGCGCCGGAGAACAGCACTTTCGGTCCCTGTATTTTCACCGGAAGGAAAATTATTCACTATAACACTGTTTTTATTTTTCAATGCCTTTGTTTCGGATTAGCGAATGGTATTCGAGCACGTACCCATCAGCATCGTGTATCACTGTAGGGACTCTTATCGGGAACCGAGGTGGGTGTAGTAGACGTTTGGAAGCTTTATGAATTGCACATCTCTTATAACAAAAAGAAAAACAGAGAGTGTTTAAATTACATTCCAAAAGAATGGAGAATATTCCAAGCCCACCTCGAAAAATTTCTCTCCTTCTGATCCTCACTTCGTCCCTCTTTCGTTCGATAGTGTCGAATAGGCACTTTTTAAAATAATATTAAACACCACGTCATCACATCTGTTACAATTTTCGGATCCCAGGACATCCTGCATTCGAATCCTTTCTTTGCATCCACCATTCGTGAACTCTTCCAACTTTTCTAGCGTGCGGATTCGGCTTCTACGTGAGGATTTTCAAGTCTTCACCACAAACGACGTTGAATGCTGGTCGAGTCGATTCTGCCTGGAGTCCTAGGATAACCGTGTGCTGGGGAGTTCCCACATAGACTACGGGAAGCGAGCATGTTCCAGACAAGTTTGGCACCGACCTTCCTGCATCAGCGTGATGAGGTGGGTATGTGAAAACGCCACGGCGTTGAGCCAGGATCACGTTAGGTTGGGCCGCCAGCGTTATAACAGGAATCTCTAGCATTGCGACATCAGTCCCGTGTGCGTTTCAAAGTCGAAAATGATTTAAATGAGAAGCCTCGAATGAGGTGTATGCTCTCCTTAAAGTTTTGTCTGTTTTCGGATAATCACATTGCTCGCACTTGTAGAATATTCGTGAGACGCTCTCGAATATTGCTCATTCTCGGCAATCATCTCCTCTCGTGATATCTTCTGCCCGTTGCCGTTCTTCGTATTTCTGCACTTCTGAGCTCGGTGGATTTCTTCGAAGCATTGAGATTTCAGTGTCGTTCAATGCGGAATGTGTCAATCTGTCTCAAAAGTATCTCTCTTCTAAGAACTATTACTTTTTCCCGACGCAGTATTACATGTATCTTTTTCATTCATAAGCTAACACGAGGTTGTTACCGATATTTATTTGGCTAACGTTTCGACGCCGTCGGCGATGATCATCAATCTCTCGAGCTGACATTGTATTTTCCTGCGTCGTTATTGTTTCTGACATGCTTTCGATTATCACTCAAACATTTTATTTTTAAACCATAGTTCGACATAAAGTCATAAAGGGAAACAAATAATAACCGCGACTATGAAAATGCGATATTTTCCTCCTGAGTCAGATCAGCTAATGGTCGGTGGAGAGGACGGTGTGCTGACTGTGCTCGACCCTGGCGGTAACGAGAAAGAACCAGTGCTTACTAGCCAGCAAGTCGGAAGACCAATCATCGACATAACCATCGGCGACTTTCTACCTACTTCCGGGCCTGTGAGTAACCGGTTTTCCTTATCAAATAATATTCATCCTGAACACATTCTTTTTTCTACAACTACTTTTTCCACGTTATTCTGTGGGTTAACAAGCGTCGGTGGCGGCTACGAGCTGCCATTTCTGGAAGTTGAAGAGATTTTCTTCAACACCTTTCTTTCAAATACACTTTCCCTCCGGATAGTAATTGAGCCTCGAATTTTTATCTGATCACACAACGTTTTAGTGCATTTCATAGATAACTAGAATGATTTGAGACGATGTTAAGATCATGGCAGTGCTGTCACCTCGAGAACTCTCGTACTTCAGTATGAACTACGGTATGTTGCTGCTTCACATGAAATAAGAGGCTTTAGTTCTCGACATTCGTTATTGGTTTCATATTTGACTTCATTCATTTTTTATATCTCCACATACTCCAAAATTTAAGTCTGATTTTGTTAGCAAATTTAGGTTTCAGTATTATATTATATATTAATAAGCAAAACAAAGAACAAAATCTAAAGGCTCCAGAAATACTAACACTTACATGTTTGACAACAACAACGATGCTGAGATATTCGAAAACCTGGACCCCGGACCAGATCGATTTTCCCTTCAAGGGGCTCGCGCATTGGACAATGCACCACAAAGGCCATCGCTCTGCGTTTCTTTCAGCTAGTGCTTCTGCCTGACGCTACCATCAACAATCACTCGTAAGCGGGATTGATCTGGGCAGCCCAAATCGGCACTGAACCCAGTTAAGCTGAGTCTGCAGTCGAAATCACAGTGCTAACCTTTTATTTTCTGCCTACCATATTTTTTTATTTAGCCAAGATATGTTGTGGAAAACAGCCACAACTATGATGAGATATTCGCAAGACGTGGACCCCGGCCAGATCGAACCACGATTTCGCTTTGCGGAGGCTCGCGCATCACGCACTTAGCCACGGAGATCCTTTCCCTGCGTTTCTCTCAGCTATTTTTTCTACCTAGTTGCCATCAGCAATCACCCGTCAGCGGAGTTATATGTTTGTTTTATTGATACTTGTGTCGATGGTAGATAGATAAATGAATGCAAGAGCATTACAGTAGGTGACCTCTGAAAAAGTCCTGCAAGGATTCTGGTTTCATTCCATTAGTGAGAACGCTTTCTGTTTCATAATGGCTAATTATAAAGGATCGATTAGAAAATACGCTGAATTTGTTCATTCTTTCACGAAGATTTAAGAATATAAAGGGCGTATAAGTCTAAAAATCGAACGTGGAGGAGCTTAAAGGAAACAGGTGATAAAGAGTAATTGGTAAAGTTATTGATTAATCGTGTTGAAATGCGCCGTCACGTTGCTCTCCCTTTCATGAATTCATTGAGATAAATAATCCGAGTTTTCTATGAACGGTCGTCATCACTACGTTTTTTATTTTCTGGTCAGATGCCTCTGACGTCTCACGGACGAAGATCGAGGAGCTGTTCTCACATGAGATGACAGAGCACGCATACAACATGTGTTTGGTTCCGTCGCAGACCACTCAGCAGATACTCGTTCAGTCTGTAGGATGTGTGCTTACACTCTATCAAGGTGAGTACGACTTCCAAGGATGCATACTCATTTCCTACCATTGCCACTTCTATCACTTGCCATCTGTCTCTGTAATCGCATTGTCAACCATCGAGTAAATTGACTCGGCACAATTGAAATCTTCATTCTTCTTTCGCGCAAGCAAGAACTGATCAGCGGTCTTTCATCGTTCAAAAGACACGAAGTGCATCACACTTCCTACATGATTTCTCTCTCTTAGAGGGAGTAGGTATATCCGGTGTTTGCGTGGAGTAGGTTTACTCTTAAACGGTTTTTGAGAGATTTTGAACTGCTTCTCTGTGAACTATTTAGAGAGCTGTTCGTTAGTGTATATAAAATTCACTAAGTTTCCTGTGAGGAAAAAGCTTTTCTCTTCCCTAGTATGGCGGAAGTTTTTAGTTGACACGGTAGGAAAATTTTCGATGTTTTTGGTATTTTGAGGAAATGTCACTAAGAGTGATTTAACTTATTATTTACTGCTTACCATTTTTAATGGGAGGGTTGCGGTTAATGGAGGTTGCGAGGTTGGGAGGTTAATAGTTGCGAAATATAACTTCAGTGATGATGAGATAATTGCAAAGCTCCGGACCGCAGGTGTCTGCGGTGGGGACTGAACACGCTATTACCTGATTCCTGATAGCACCTATAGGTCCATAACACGGCTGAGAGAAAGGCGAAACGAAGGACTCGCGTGGTGTGGTGGTGAACGCGTTATCCTCCGGAAAGGGCAATAGCGCGTTCGTTCCCCACCGCAGACACCTGCGTTCCGGAGTTTTGCATATCTATCAGCATCATTGAAGTTATATCACTAAGAGACTTGAAAACTACACGACAATAATTGGAAGAGCATTGCTTTTAAAGCTCGTGAAGAAGACAAGAAAGTATTTGCTGCATATTAACAATAAAGTAATGTTATTAAGGTAGAGTAGGATAACTCTATATGTCTCAAAGACGTCCATTGTTAGTAACACGAATCAACATGAAACACCTGAACACGATCATGGGATCGAATATTCAGGGGTAATGGATTCGGTTGAGTGCCACAGTGGAAAAGAATGTAGTTGTATCTGTTGGAGTTCTAGCTGTCTAGGTATTTGTCTACTACAAACACTTCCCAAAGTGCATGAAATATTCCACTGTAATCATTGGAAAGAATCAACGAAAGCCGAAATTACACATATCGACGTGATCGAGTGGACGGCGCAATACAACGTAGCATACATGCCACCAAACATTCCATTTTATGGGAAGTGTTCCACGTTTGTGGTTTCTTTCATAACAACACCGCCTATTTCACGGCTCATCACACTGTTCATATTGGACGGGAATTACGTTGCACTGTGGGACCTCAAATAGCGCTATCATTTGAATGTAACAAATCACCCAGTGACAGAAAGCCTTAACTGCACGGTTGTCGAAAACTGTGCATGCTACCTTGCTGAAAAAGAGACCAACTGCAAGTGCAAAGGAAAAAAAAAGCATCTTCTTATGGTATAGTAACGTACGAAACAAGCTGTCGGTAGCCATCCTTATATTACTGATGTTTCATCGGAGCTACGCCGCTCAAATGAGAGCTAGGATTCGCACCATGGAAGCAGCACGAATGA